TAAGGACACAAGCTCACCGAGAATAAGCTCATTGAAAGTTAGAGCAGCAGTTATTAAGTGACAGAGCTGAGAATTGAGCTCTCACCTGTCTGCCTCCTTCCAGAGCCTGAGATCTTAAGAATCCACCAGAGGTACAACAGCTGGGCAATCACTCCCCCCCTCAAAGTAAAGGGGAGGCCTGGTGTCACCAGTAACTAAGCATGCGACCCACTGGGAACCTGTGCTCCTTGGCTTCCACTCATACCCTTACCTCTATCTGGTCAATGGTTTCCTGATATTCTTTCTCTCGGGTTTTGAACAGAGACTCCGTATCCTTAATCACCTTCTCCAAGCTGTCTTCCTGCTGCTAGAGTAGAAAGGGAAGCGAGGGTTGGGGGAGCGGCATTGGGGAGGGATGGGATGGGGGCATTCCACAGGGCCAACGAGGGGGAGAGAGAGAGAGAGAGAAAGTCAGGTTAAAGGAAACCAGAGAAAGAAAAGAAAGAGGATAAAGGAGGGGGGAGAAGCAGGTAGAGGACGATGGCCACAGAGGGGAAAGAGAACGAGGCGGGAAGGGAGGCGGGGAGGGAGAGGAGGAGACCGGGCAGCAGCTGGAGAGACAGGGCTGAAGGGCCCTGAGGCCGGGAGGGGTGGTTACCTCTCCCTGGGCCTCTGCGGCTGCCATGGCATAGCCTGAGAAATCCTCCCAAAGCAGCAGGGTCTCCTCAGTCTCCTCCCACGTCAGGCTGTCACAGTCGTCCTCAAAATCATACTCCCTCCTAGAGACAGGGAGCCCATGTGTCAAGGAGGGCGGGCCCTTCCTCCTGGCAGAGGGGCCTGGCAGGGGGTACTCCGGCCTCGGAGGGGGGTGCTGCTGAGGAGGGCCTGTGGGACTCACAGCTGGTTGAGCATACGCTGCATCTCCTCGTTGATGCTGAGGGCTGCGCTCTCCTCCTCATCCCCATCGGGCTGGCGGGGCCCGTCACTCTCAGAGAGGGAGGTGTCCTCCTCCGTGGCAGCCTTGCGCTCCCGCTTCCGCCCCCCCATGGATGGGACCTTAATGGGAGACAAGTGCAGAGACTAGAGAGACGAGGCCGGGTGCATGAGGAGAAAGGGCGGGCGGGCGGGTGGGAGGAGAAGCAGGAACCAGT